CTTGTGTCGCTAAAGTTTCGTCCGAACGAAGTTACGGAAAATCAATTAACAAACGGAGACGTAACAATATTGTATATAGTTTCACTATTAAAAAGAAATAGGGGCTAGTGAAAAGTTGGTTCATTCTAGGACTGCTAAATGTTATCAACTGAACTACTTTAAGTTATTAACCCTTTAGCATGCACCTACCGTACAAGAGAGACAGAATTTAATCTTGGACTGATCATATACAACTAAAACTTAAAGCTGAATTACCAAAATAATAACTGACGTTTAGCTATTGGGCGTACCATGATCCCGAGATAAGGCGCGAAGATGAGCATTGTTTTTGTGAGAAGGGAAGAATGTGGTAGCCTGGATAAATAAACAGCGCCTTTGTAAGACTTGTTGTCGGGTTAGCCCTTTAGTTCACTTGGTGTGCGTGATATCGAGCCGAGAAATAATATTAAAGACATAATCACAGTTCTACACGAGTGATAAAGAAATAAGAAATGGCTTAAGTTCTTGTTATATAGCAATGCAATGTGTATGGAGAAGAAAACGCTTTTGTTCTCAGAGGCTGTCTGAATTTGAAATACCGACCTTGGAACTGGTATTAAAAATTTATCTTCATATCAGAATAGATCTGGCTACATTATATTTGAAGGTCGTTTCTTAATAATCAAAGATTATTTGTTGGTTTCATAATAAGCTTCATATGATATCAGTGATGAATTCTATGTTGCTGTTTTATTCAGTAATGACAGAAACAGTTTCTTTATAACATTTCGAGCAACTACATAAACATACTAGAGAACCCGCGGGTTTATGGCCTACACTTAGGGAGCCGCTATCATCCAAATTTAAAGCTTAAACTACTATCTTGTACTTTTTCATCATTTTCTTGTACTTGTTTTATCATTACTGCTATAATGCAAATTTAATTTCTTTAACCAAGTTACGAAAGGTAATTAATATGTACTATCTTGTACTTTTTCATCATTTTCTTGTACTTTTTTTATCATTACTGCTATAATGCTGTAAAGGTAATTAATATGTCTACTTATTTTAGTACTCTATTGTTAATCAATACTAAATTTGGGGATCGCTTTCGAGGTATCCCCGTAAAAGTGTTTTGCGAAATATCCGAGTTCCCTAAGGGGTTGGGTGAAAAGTTTAACGTTTGTGCAAACCTTGGAGCCAAGGCAGTTCGTTTAGCGCCACTTAGGAGTCGGTGCGACAAGAGGTTTAGGAGGAGTTATGTGAAACACAGGCACTGAATCTTATTATATAGATATTTTTTTTTCAAATTATTTGTTAATACAAAAAGTTTAAAAAATGCAAAATCCTCATCACGATAGCTATATAAGCGTTCAACAAAACCTTTTTTATGTTATAAATGTAAATTATCTGTAATATGTCCAACTTATTTGAAT